CAATCATTCCCGAGTATCCCAGAGACTCCAATACCCCTTAATCAAGGAATATACCTAAAAAACCATATTAGGGAGCCCACTATAAATTAAGGTATATTCCTTAATTAAGGGGTATTGGAGTCTCTGGGATGTGACAAAGAAAGCCAGGGCAAAGGATGTGTTGATAATGTAGGGGCCTTAATTAATAGTTAGAATAGGGTTTGGGGGGTATATTATACTATAACCATAATAAAGAACCCCAAATGAGGAATCCGAAGGCCCCTACACTAGATGCAAACCCTGACCCTAAGCTGCCTGCACTGGGCTGCACAGCGAGATCTGGTCCTGCCTGTCACAACCAGAAATTCTCCTGCCGAGCTGCCAGGCAACAAGATCGACATTCCTGTCGCAGCTTCCGAAGATGAGTTGCGCCATGCTTTGGGGCTCTACACGCACATGACGTCAGGTGGGCTTCTGTGTACGGCGCAGGGCTCGTTTTGAAGAGTGAATGCCAGAGGGGCATAACTGAATATAAACTAATATGATATAGTATACTAGAATATAATATTATACTATAATAGACTATGAACTGAATATAAAATAGTATGATATAGTATACTAGAATATAGTATATATATATATATATAACTATGATAGACTATGATACTGGCTTCAGGTGTTAAGGGAGGCCAAGGTCTGTTCGCCCTGTACACCCTGAGCCCTGGTTCTGGAGTTCCAAGGCTTTAGGGTTTAGGGTTTAGGGGTTTAGGGTTTAGGGTTTAGGGTTTTATGTCTTCAACGTTTCATTTTCTCTTTGGTTTGAGGTTTCTGGGTTTAGGGTTTAGGGTTTCTGGGCTTTTGTAGAATTTAGGCTTCAACTGCCCACCTACAATTCGAAGCTGCCGGGTGTTTGAGTTGGGTTCTTGTGCAGGCAAGCACGTCATGGGCGGCAAGCAGGACCGGTGTCGAGTGCCGGATTTCTCAGACGTAAGAATCTAAACCCCAAACCCTAAACGCCTAGACCCCCCCCCCCCCGCAATCAAAAACCCAACCCTAAACCCCAAACCCTAAACCCTCCCCAACTCCCCCCCCAAAAAAAGAAACCCAACCCTAAACCCAAGAAGCGTGCCTCTTTCTGGCTAGGATCGGCTTGGATCGCCTTTGCAAGCCCCGAGCTGGACCCTGCCCTGAACCCTAAGCTCCAAAAAGCAGGCGAGCTCGGTCGAAAAGAGAAGAGGGGCCTTAAAGGGGGTTACTATAAGGGCTCAGTTAGGGTTTAATTAGGGTTTAGGGGTAATATAGGGGCCTTAATACAGGGGCCTAAATAATGAGACTAGGGTTCGGTAATATAGGGGCCTTAGGGGTTACTATAAGGGTTTAGGGTTGAGGGGTAATATAGGGGCCTAGATAATGAGACTAGGGTTCGTTTTAAAGGGGTGCCTTAAAGGGGTTACTATAAGGGTTTAGTTAGGGTTTAGGGTTTACTTAGGGGTAATATAGGGGTCTAATGGTGAAGTATGGCCCCCTCGCGTACTGCGGGGCCATGCAAGCGCGGGCCCTGCAACCACGTTGACACGTGGCCACACAGTCCCTCGTCAGGAGTTTTACCGGATGCTTCGGGGCGAGCCTCTCGGTGTGCGCTTGGCGCACATCGAAGCTCGCCAAGAGAAGGATATCTCCACAGGCGGGGAGCACCGCGGCGACGATTCGCGACCAGACGGCCGTGCTTTTGTCAGGACTGCTTTGGCGTGGGGCCGACACCGTGCAACACTGCCGGATCGCCAAAGGCCTGCTTACTGAGTCCGGGAAGTTGCAAACTAAACGCGAATGCCGCAGGCGATGCCGACATCACGGTGGCGGAGCACATAGCCTGGAATCCTAAGGCAGGAAGACTAACATAAATTCGGCAAGCACGACCGCGCGAGTACAGGATTCCCCTTGGCTGTCCTACACGGAGAATTTTTTGGTCGCGCTGTGGTTCGCCTTCGCAAAGGCCTGGCTCAACCACACAATCGATCACACTGTCGTTTCTAGCCGTGCGAGGCCACACCTGGCGACGTCAAGGTGCTGGCAGCGTTGGACCCATATGAGCACGCGACGTTCACTCTGGATAAGGACCGCGTCCCGCGCTAGTATTTTTTAGTTAGTGCGCAAAGCTCCAGGATGCCGACCTGAGCATTACCGGGCGGCGTCGACAACCAGGGGCCGGCGTGCTGGCCAAGGCGCATGGGGCGTCCGGCCACGGACAGCATGCCTCCACCGAGCGTCGCGCCTGTTGCTGTTGCAGTCGTCCACAGGCCAACAAATTTACAAAGTGGGCAGAGGAACGCCTACTTACTGGCGTTCCAGAAGGCAGCTTCGTCACAGACGTGGCCAGTGGCTCAGAGTAGGAAGCTTGCTGCAAACATATATGTTTCGTCCAGTGAGGAGATTCGCGTTTGTGCAGCCGACGTGGCGTGGGCTGCCTCGGCGGGAAGCAAGTGGAAATTGTCGGCGCCCGCACACCGTCACGATCTCGTGGCACGCCTCCCAGTCGACAGCGTGTGTGCAAGGCAGACTCGTCAGAACTTGTTTTCGAGGCCTGGGCAGACTCCCTGAAGCAGTCCATGGCGAGTGCCTCAGCCTTCGTCAACGCTACATGCTTGGTTTTTGTGGAAGTCGACGAGGCATTTCCCTGAGCGCCGAGAGCCGCAAGACGCGTTCATTTCGGCGAATGCGCTGCGGTTGCGTGTGCAAGACACGGCCGCGCGAAAGCCGACTCATTTTGGGCCTCGAAGCCACATGTGGAGTGGCAGCACAGTCCTGCCCTGTGAGCTCTCGGAAAAGAACCAGCAGAGCTTGCGTCCTTCCGGATTATGTCGACAGTCATGTTTAAGCCAAGCTCCAGGAAGCCGCTGCCAACATTGTCTTTGAAGTCGCGTTGTGCTTGGACTCTTTGTCATGCCTTGGAAGTCTTCTATATGAACACATTAAGACAAACTCACCAACGGCAACCAAGCACCCGCGATTTGAGATGTTAACTCAGTCTTCCTGCTTGAAGACTATGTAGTCATTGTTGCTCACTGTGTTGTATAAACTTAGCAAGGCAAACCGACCAACAGCTATCGAGCACCCTCGACTTTAGGGTTTAACCTAGTCACAGACTGGCTGCGCTTGGGGAGTACTTTGCTTACCACTGTCGCCAAAAAAAATTCTGCACAACCTCTACCAGTGCATGTGCTTGTCGGTCTTTTCTTGTTCCAAACACGATTTTCGAATGGAACTTTGCTGTGAGCATTAACCGCTGGCCCAACCGAGCCAGATGTTGGCGGTTTGGCTGCTTTACGAAAGATTTCCTTCCACAGTTTCTTGTTCCACCCCTGCACGAACACATTCAACACGGGACATCTCGTCCACGTTCGCAGCGTTTTCGGCTCGACCGTGCGTTCTCAGCGTCATTCCTTAGTGCTTGCTACTTGAGGCACGGACCAGACAGTCAGTCTTCTTGCGGCGAACCGCTCGCCTTGAGTGCAGGTGCCCCATTGCGTGAACCAGCTCTGCGGGAGCTGTCCTAAAACGCTGCCTCAGTTATGCCTGTTTGCCGCAGAATCATGTGTGTATCTCTGTGCCATGTGAAACTTGCCGCGAGGCTAGTTCGGACTCTCGAGCTCGAGAAAAACGCGCCGAAGCCGAGTCCTCAACTGCTACTGCCACCGATCAGCGTCGATGTTGTTGGGCATGTGCATGACGGACATGTGTCTGAACCACAGCGTGTCCTCCAAGATATCAGTCAGTAGCTTCCCGTCCAGCTCTCTATCCGCCAGCATGGCCCAGGGTCTTTTCGGTGCCGGCGCCGAGGGTAGCTCCAAGCCATCCGCGTCTGAGGAAGGTCGTCGCATCAAGCTCTATCCCTGGGATTCCACGGCCATGCAGCTCCT